GGCCTCTCACGCGGGATAAGCGGGGCGTAAGGGAAGTGTCAATCGTCAGCATCAAGTACATCACATCCGACCCGTCATGTGTCAACAGCCCCCTACAACGAGCCGCAGGTGGAGGGCTCTCCTCCAAACACACAGTACCCCAAAACGCCATCAGCAGCTCCCCCACTGCGCGAACACGACGGCCCTCATCGTCGGCGCTCCGACCGTGCACGCTCTCGCGTCGGCAGACCCGTCCAGGACCCCAGCACATGCGCCAGGCACAAGCCGGCGACCAGGCCGCGCGCTCCCACCCCACCACCACTCAGCATACCACGCTGAGCACCGTGAGACTGGGCGGTGGTCACTCCACATCGGCGACGCATGGCATGCGGCAGGAATGGTCACCTCTGGGTGAGCAACACTGGCTATATTTTGATGACGGTCAACTCCCTGAAAGTTGAAGCTTTTTGATGGATGCTTCTCTTTATCGATTTATCAACATTTCGAAGCACTCCAATAACATCCCTTAGTGGCTACCTCACCCCGCTTCAGGGCATCAACTTTGTAAAGAGGAAATATTCTATCATGCATTTTAACACATTTATGAATCGTATTTTATTCAAGGTTACGGAACAAGCTATAAAGGGCACGGACTCGCTCCGCTTCTTCGCCCCCAAGAGGATGTATGCAGACCGCCGGTTCAAAGTGTACCCTAACTATGCTCGCCAAAACTAAGACCCAAATTGTGACCGTCATTGCATGCTATCAAGGCTTCAAGCAACTCAGCCTCTAGTGAATGTTAACATGACTGAAAATCACTAAGAGCTAAGGGATTCCTCCTGGATTGAAACAAAATGTATGGCGTCAATGAACCTTCTGGAAAGAAAGATATCCAGACATCTATTTTAAAAGACTGCCGACACTTTATGGAACTGCAAGCATTTCCTATCCAAAGGCAGACTGGACAATACAAAGGTGAATTGATTTCACATAATCCCAGTCTGGACAAGACAAAGATGAACTGATTTCATATAATATCAGAATGCATCCGTACGTCAAATGATGAAACGTGCCACATGGGACTTCCAGGCAGCGACAAAAACCACCAGCACGAAACGCGCACCCTGTGGTCACCGGTAAGGGGGACAACTTCAGGTCAAAGAGCAGTCACAGAGCAACATTATGATAGCGCGTTAGGACCAGCCAGCCATACAATATGCAATCACAGAACATGGGGCCGTTTTCGTGAAGCGCGATTTCGTTCCAGACGCCTTTAATCGTACATGTTAATTCTGTAATGCCTCTGCTTCATTTGATGCTTACCTACGTAACAAATGAGACACATAAGTGACACGTGCCATAACACCAGCAACCAATACAACACACAGCTCTGCTGAGCCCCGGAAACAAGGCGCTTCGCCGAACAGCACCGCCCGCGGGCGGTTTGTACAGTGAAGCGATCACACGGTGCCGGCGAACCCGGCGCCAGCCGGCCGCGGGCGTCGGTGTGGCGGCCGCCCGGCCGGGAGCGCTCGTCCGGCCGCTCAGCGCGGCTTCACCCGCCGAGGCCGAGCCGGCGCAGCCAGCCGCGGGCGTCGGTGTGGCGGCCGCCCGGCCGGGAGCGCTCGTCCGGCCGCTCAGCGCGGCTTCACCCGCCGAGGCCGAGCCCGGCGACGCGCCGTTCGGGGTCAGCTGTCAGCAGCGCGGGTCTCTGCGCGCTGGCGCGCGCCCGCCCGGCGCTCGGCGCGCCATGTCCGCGCCCGCTGGCTGCGCCGGCGGCTACGTGACCCAGGTCTCGGCGACGCGCGGCCGCTTGTGCAGCGGAGCGGCGTCACTCTCCAGGGCCGGCTCCGACAGGGCGTGGCTGAAGCCGGCCGGCCCCGGCCGACGCCCCGGCGGTGGCGCGCCTGCGGGACGGAGTCACGGGTCAGGGTGGGATGGTACGCCTGTGGGGAGGAGTCACGGGTCACGGTGGGATAGTACGCATGTGGGGAGGAGTCACGGGTCACGGTGGGATAGTACGCCTGTGGGGGGAGTCACGGGTCACGGTGGGACGGTACGCCTGTGGGGAGGAGCCACGGGTCACGGTGGGATAGTACGCCTGTGGGGAGGAGTCACGGGTCAGGATGGGACGGTACGCCTGTGGGGAGGAGTCACGGGTCAGGATGGGACGGTACGCCTGTGGGGAGGAGTCACGGGTCACGGTGGGATGGTACGCCTGTGGGGAGGAGTCACGGGTCAGGGTGGGATGGTACGCCTGTGGGGAGGAGTCATGGGTCAGGGTGGGATGGTACGCCTGTGGACGGAGTCACGGGTCAGGGTAGGACAGTATACCTGCGGAGCGGAGTCACGGGTCAGGGTGGAATGGTATGCCTGTGGACGGAGTCACGGGTCAGGGTGGGATGGTACGCCTGTGGGGAGGAGTCACGGGTCAGGGTGGGATGGTAGGCCTGTGGACGGAGTCACGGGTCAGGGTAGAACGGTACACCTGCGGACGGAGTCACGGGTCAGGGTGGGATGGTACGCCTGCGGACGGAGTCACGGGTCAGGGTAGGACAGTATACCTGCGGGGCGGAGTCACGGGTTAGGGTGAGATGGTACGCCTGTGGGAAGGAGTCACGGGTCACGGTGGGATGGTGCGCCTGTGGGGAGGAGTCACGGGTCAGGGTGGGATGGTACGCCTGTGGGGAGGAGTCACGGGTCAGGGTGGGATGGTACGCCTTAGGGAAGGAGTCACGGGTCAGGGTGGGATGGTACGCCTGTGGACGGAGTCACGGGTCAGGGTAGGACGGTACACTTGTGGGGAGGAATCACGAGTCAGGGTGGGACGGCACGCCTGTGGAGCGGGACGGCGGGTCGGTATGGGACACGAGGGTGTTGCGGAATACAGCATTAGATGGGAGCAGGCGACTCCGTCAGCGACACATAACGTCGACAGAAAAGCAAATGAGACAGCTGTGATGGCTGGCAGTTACGACAGAGCCAGCGATACATTCGGCAGTGATGCATTCAGCGCCGATATATTTACGAGAATGCACAGTGCCCTAGCACCACGTAATTCGATTTTTACGACGGGATGATACTTGAGATAATATTATATCCAGCTGATCGTGTGTGACCCCACCATTCCAGGTTACCGTGAGGGGTTGACACCAGCGTCCCAGATCTCAGTGACTGTGACCAGTGCAGAGGGACCGTGATACAGGTACCTCATGTGCAATGGCCGTGATACAAGTACCGCAGGTACAGTGGCCGTGGTGCAAGTACCTCAGGAGCAGTGACCATGGTACAGGTACCTTAGACACAGTGGCCGTGGTACAGGTACCTCATGTACAGCGGCCGTGGTTCAGGTGCCTCATGTGCAATGGCTGTGATACAAGTACCGCAGGCACAGTGGCAGTGGTGCGAGTACCTCAGGAGCTGTGACCATGGTACAGGCACCATGGGTACAGTGGCCGTGGTACAGGTACCTCCCATACAGTGGCCGCGTGTGTGATAACGCTCCCTCCAGGTTTCAGTGAGACAGCATGACACCCTAGGCAGAAACGTGACCGCGCACGCCGCCACTGACCGAGCGCGGCTGCTGGCGGCGAGTGTCCGGCGGGCGCGGGCCTCAGGTGCTGGTGGCCGCAGGCGCCGTGCCGCTCCCTGGAGAGCGGAGACGTCCGCTCCTCTTGGCCAGGCGCAGGGGCGCCTCTCGGCCTCCGGCGGCGGCGACACGGACAGGTGCGGCAGGCTGGGGCACGAGAGGGCCGGGTCAGCGCCGCGCCGGGCGCGCCACCACGCGCGGACCAGGGCGGCAGGAGCACATCGAGGTTGAGTGACTCGGGCTGAAGTGAACCCACGTCGCCAGACAGCAAGGCCTAAAACGAGACTCGCCGCAACAACAGATCCCAGGAGGTTCAGTCCAGCAGTGATCCGGTACACCAGGGCCACGTTTGCAGCAGAGGCCCGAGAGGAGCAGCGTTAGTCCCGCCGGCCGGCACTCACCGTGGTGCGCGTGGACAGGTGAGAGGTGAAGGCCTGCAGGGTGACGGGACCAGGTCGCCACGGCTGCGGGATGGCCAGGCCGGGGCGCGGTTGGCTCGCGGCCGGCCAGCTCCGCCCCGCCGAAGAAGCCGTATTCGGCGGACGCCATGCTACCGCCG